ATAAGGAATTAACTTTAGGTTTAAAGACACACATAGCCTGACAGTGAAATGATAGGAAAAGAATTCCATGCAAATGGAAGGCACTAAAGAACATGGGCAGCCATACTGCTATCAAGAGAGACAAGTAAGGACATTAAGTAATGATAAAAGGGCTAATTCACCAGGAATATAAAACAATTACAAATATATATGCATTTAACATCAGAAAAACTAAATATACTGTGCAAACATTAACAGAACTGAAGAGAGAAATAAACACGATGTAGGCCACTTCCATACACTACTGTCAGTGATGTACATAATACACAGACACTACAGGTTATATGTATCCAGTGGACATATATAGGACATTCCACCCAGTAGTAACAGAATAAAAATTATTCTCTTGAAAGGATGTTTAGTCACCAAACAAATCTTAACAAATTTAAGAAGGCTGAAATTGGGACCAGCAGATGGCATAATGGTTACATTGATGGACTCCCTAGTCGACCAAGGCTCAAATCCTGCACCTGGTGGCTTAAACTCATGCCAGGCACATGTGCATGGGGGAGAAAGGACTGCAGCATGGCCATCCTCCTGGGGGGTGATTTCTCACTTTCTGTCTGTCTCTGTTTTTGCAGGGAGCACACGTGCCCTACAGCAAAAACAAAACAAACAAACAAACAAACAAACAAAAAAAACACTCTCTTAAAAAAAAAAAAAAAAAAAGGTCTGAAATCATGCCAAGCATATTTTCCAACCACAAGGGAATTGAACTAGAAATCAATAGCAGAAGGAATATTCAAGAGTTCACAAATATATGGAAATTAAGCAAGAAACTCTCAATCAATAGGTTAAAGAAGACATAAAAAGGAAATTGTAAGCTATCTTGAGACAAATGAAAATGAATACACAACATTTAAAATGAAATGAAGCAAAAGCTATAATAAGAGGGAAGTTTACAGCAATAAAGATCTACATTAGTAAAGAACAATCTCAAATAAACAACCTAATTTTATACTGAAGGAACTATAAAATGAAGAACAAATTAATCTCAAAGTTAGCAGGGGAAAGAAGGAACTAAGATTAGAGCAGAAATAAAGAATAAAAATCAATAGATAAAAATCAATAAAATTAGTAGTATTTTAAAAAAAAGATTAAAAAATGGACAAACCTTTAGCTATACTATAAAAAAATAGAGAAAACTCAAATAAATAAAATATAAAATGAAAGAGAAGACATTGAAACTCACGTCACAGAAAAGGATTATAATAAGCTACTATGGACTACTACATGCAAATTGGATAACCTGAAAAAAAATGAATAAATTACTACGAACATAAAACTGACCAAGAGTGAATCATGGGGAAATTAAAAAAAAATAATTAAATAGATCTATAACCAGTAAAAATACTGAATCAGTAATGAAAAACTTCCCAATGAAGAAAATCTTAATACCAGCTGTCTTCACAAGTAAATTCTATCAAATGGTTAAAGAATTAATGCCAACCCTTCTCAAATGCTTCCAAAAATCTGAAGAGATGGGAACACTTCCAAATTCATTTTAAGAGGCCCAAATGACCCTGATACCAAAATCAGGGAAAAAAACAATTACAGGATAAGAAAACTATAGACCAGCATTCCTGATTAACACAGATGCAAAAATTTCTTCAAAAATACTAGCAAACTGAATTCTACAGTACATTAAAAGGATCATAAACCAGGATCAAGGGGCATTTACTTTAGGCACGTAAAGATGATTCAATCATGCAAAAATTAAAGGGATGTACTACATTAACAGAACAAAGGATGAAATTACATAACCCTAATCACTCAGAGAATTCAATATCCACTCAAACTTGGAACAATTTAACATGATCTGAGACATGATCTTACATGCATAAAAACCTAAAGATCGCTCACACATACACACACACACACACACCATTAGAACTAATAAACTAATTCAGCAGGGTAGAAAACCAACACACAAAAACTAGTTGCATTTCTGTATACTAACAAAAGGAAATTAAAAATCCTATTTACTATACTTTCAAAAGTATATATATACTTCAGAATACATTTGACCAAGGAGGTGAAAGACTTGCATACGTATACTGAAAATGATAAAACATGGCTGAAAAACATTAAAGATGACCAAAAAAATAAGACACGTGATTTTCAGGGTTTGAAAAACTTAACATTGATAAAATATTCATATTGCCTAAAGTTATCTACAAATTCAATGTAATCCCTGTCAATATCCCAGCAGAATTTCTTTTTCTAAATCTCTGGAGTGATACGGTTGTCTGTATATTAATGAGAGCACTGCTGGCAGGGGCTCTGAGACAGACTTAGAATGAGGACTGGTAGCCAGGAAGATCAAACAGGATTAGTAGGTTGAGACTTTCAACCTCCCAGGAGGGGCTGAAGGGCTGAAGATTGAGTTGAGCACCAAAGATTTAATCATTGCGCCCATGGACTAAGAATCCGTAAAAAACCAAAGACCTGGTCTGGAAGAGCTTCTAGTTCGCTGAACAGATGTAAGCTGTGGGAGGGTGTTACACCCAGATTGCCTCTTCCTTCCTACCTTGCCCTGTGTATCTTGCCTCTAGCTGTTTACCGGCATCTTTTGTAATATACTTTGTAATAAATGGGTAAATATAAATAAAATGCTTCCGTGAGTTCTATGAGCCTGTCTAGCAAATTAATCAAGTTCAAAGAGGGGATTGTGGGAATCTCAGCTGGTCAGTCAGAAGTATAGGTGATAATTTAATACTCGCAAATGGCATCTATACAGGGGGCGGTGTTGTGTTGTAGGTCTGAGCCCTTAAACTGTGGGATCTAATGTTATTACTAGGTAGACAGTTTCAGAACTGAGCTGAATTAAAGAACAGACACAGCTGGGGTCCACTGGAGAATCTGGGGCCACAGAAGTATTCTATATTGAACGTGACAGATGGAAGTGGAAATATGGTTTGGATTTTTCCTATTTCTAATAACAAAGCAAAACCACAGATATCATCTTAGACCTACTGAATAACTATTACTTTAAAAGAAAATAAAGTAAAACAAAAACAGAAAAGAAGTATTGGTGAGGATGTGGGATATTTGAACCCTTATGTATTACTGTTGCTTAGGAAAATGGTAGAGATCCCTCAAAAAACTAAATATGAAACCATCACATGATCCAGCGATCCCCTTTCTTGGTATTTATCCAAAAAAAAAAATAAAATTAGGATTTCAAAGAGATATTTACACTTTGTGTTCATTGCAACATTATTTACAAGAGCAAAGAGGTGACAACAACCTAAATGTCCATCAACAATGAATGAAAAAAGAAAATGTGGCATATACATACATACAATGTAGTATATTATTCAGCATTGAAATGGAGTAAATTCTAACACATGCTACAGTATGAATAAACCTGGAGGACATTCTGGTACCGAAGGACACAGTCTAGATAATTCCACTTGTACAAAGACTTAAACAGTCAAACTCATATACACAAAGTAGAATGGGGCTGTCAGGGGCTGGGTGCAGTGGGGAAAAACAGGGGCCTGCTCTTCAATGGTACAGAGTTTAGTCATACAAATGAGAAAGTTCTCTAGACTTGCAGGATAACATTATGTTGATAGTTAATAATACTGCATTGTACATTTACCAATTTAAGACTAGGTATCATTTTATATATTTATTATTCATTTTTATAATATGCATTTATTTACCACACACACGTTTCCTATCAGATATCACTGAAGGCAGTGTTGTGACTGCCTTATTTCCTGTTAGCCTTGATTCAGTGCTTTCCCCTCACAGTGGGAGCTGGAACTAGAACTCCCTGGGCCTGGGAAGTTGTGCACTTATTCCAGCCAACACACTTTTCCTATCTCTATCCACACAGAGCTGGCAAGTGGAAGGTCCAGAACTACCACCCAAAGGGCTAGAACCTATGAACTGTATACACCAAAAAGAAATCCAGCTTCTGAGACTAGAACAAAGGATCCTCACATGGAGTGATCTAATTCCTTACCAGGTACTTAGAATATATTTGCACTATAACGTACAAATATTTCAAGACTTAAATAAAAACACACTGAGGACAGATTATGACTATCTTCCTAGTCTAAGAGGTCTGGAGAGGGGGCAGTCTCACCCACAGACATCAATCTTGCTATAATAGAAGCACTGTGATCCAGTGATTAGGGGACGCCCCTACATCCTGACCCTGGTGCAGTATCATGTGATATTTGGTAAAGCCTTCTTTTCTCTGTTAAATTCAGGCATTCTTTTCAGGTCACTCTAAGTGTTTTGGAGACAGACTTGTGCTTTTAACCAATTAAAAGAATTTCTAAACTTACCTACGACCTGTAAACCCTCACTTCCTTTCAAGTGTTCTGCTCTTTTGTGCCAGATCAGTGTAAAGGCTCCAGATGTTGATTCATAATTCCTCCTGCTATCAAAACTGAATAAAAGAGCTGCTGCATCTAAGCACCATGAAACGCTTTCTCTGGGATACCAGGGATTAAGTTTCTGGGACTTGGTCACTCATATTTGTGCTTAGAATAAACTGTCTAGATTTTTTCTACGATCAAATATTTCTATTTTTGATTATTTCCATCAACAATGTGTGTTTAGCTTTGGGTGGAATGGGAACAAAGACAGATAATGATTCATAAATGATGGCTACAACTAAGCTATAATATAATTATGGACTGAAGAATATGGTGCCACAGGTCTGCACTGCATAGACATCAAGTCTAACTTGTCAATTTATGTCCAGTATTTTTTACTGACCATCACTGAAACAGCCATTCCTTTGATCAGGTGTGTGTATTTGTGTTTGTGCATGTGTTAAGTATGTAAGATGACTTTTTTCACCAAAAAGACAAAATCTAAAAAAGAATTCAAATTATCAGTTAAATTGTCTTTATTTTTGTATAAATATTTTTGTACCTTGCCTAATTATTGCTTCATAAAGTTTTGTGGATCCTAACGTTTATCTATTTTGGTTTTACCTTTTGCAAGTAAAGAACTGTTCCCTTCAGTACGGCATAAAATGTTTTCCATCCTCGCTTTCCTCTTGGAGCTAGAAAGGGAGAAAAGAGAAAATTTTATTTGACAGAAAAGAGCATTTTAAGAAAGATAAATAATTAACATGGTGGATATGTTTCAATATTCTTGGGGCTGGCAGATAGCGTGGTCGTTAAGGGCGCTGGACTCCCACATGGCAGACCATGGTTCAAGTCCTGGACTTGGTGGCTTGCTTTCTCTCTCTCTCTCTCTCCTCTCTTCTCTCTCTCTCTTACTGTCTGGTCAAATTAAAATAAAATAAATAAATACTAATTATTTTTAAAAATATTCTTAGTTTATTTGCTACCAAAACTATAATGAGAAGTAAAATTTTCTTGAGCTTTATGATTTACCAGATAGTATTCAGCATTATTCAATACTATCAATCCTGTTAGTCCTCCCTACCCCTTTGTTCAAAATTGGACCACAGAGAAGAGAAAGAGAAGTGGGAACTGAATACAAGGAGCATGGCTCTATGGCCTGCCCTTGGGTAGAAATGGTTGGCAGGCTGGGAAATGAAGAGGCATGTTGGAAATATGTATTAACCCAGAGGAAGCTCAAAAGGCTCATGAACTAGAGACATTACGACTTCTTCAGTTTCTAGGAACCATAAAACAGGTTTCAAATAACAGAGGCCCTCTCTTGGCATATTTTCCATACCCACCACAAGTGGATTATAACTTAATTAAATATTATTACTCCTTTGGTGACCTCTGCTGATCCTGCTACAATGTGAATTTTTTTTTCTTTTATCTAAGTGGTTTTTTCATTAGCCTATAAATGACTAGTTTAGAATTTACAGAACCTAGCATAGTGCAAGACAGACACAAGCCCCTATCCTAAAAATTTTCCAAATTTGGGAACCAGCAGTTAGCGTAATGGCTATGTCGCTGGATTCGCACGTAGTTGACTGCAGTTCGCGTCCCGGACCTGGTGGCTTAGAACTCACGCCAGGCGCATGTGCGTGCGTGCCCAAGATCCCGAGAGGAGAATGGAGGAGAAGGGATTGTGGCGTGACCATCTCCCCTGGGGGGTGATTTCTTGCTTTCTGTCTCTATGTCTCTCTCTGTCTGTCTGGCAAGCACACGCGCCCTATAGCGAAAGACCTCTCAAAAAAAAGTTTCCAAATTCATTCTGAAGTTCTCATATTTCTTTTGTGTATACTTTTCTCTAGTACAAAGTCTAAAATATGTATTAACTTATATAAAATCTTATAAATTGTCCTAAGCAAAATCCAGATTAGCAAAAAAGTTTACTAAAAATTCTTAGTCTTTACAAAATTAAAATCTGTTCCTTAGACAATGTTATCAACTGAATATCATTTTTCTAAACCTGGCTGCCCAGATAGACAGGGAAGCCCATTTATTCATATTCCTTTACTAAACATCAGGCTATATTTAGGTAATCTTTAGCTTGACCACCTCATTAAATTAGGAAGTACATTATTCTTAAACTCTTTAAATCTCTTTTGACTGAATACTTAAGAATTTTAGGATAGAACTAGGTGAATAGTCACAGAAAACAGGTGTTCCTGCTAACCCCATACTGAGCTATCCACCTGGCAAGAAAGGACTCAAAACATCCGCTCTGTGGGTTTCCAAGGGAAATAAGAAAAAAATCATCCCTTCTGTTTCCACTAGGTGAGGCTTAAAAGTATGTACAAAAATATCAGATTAAACAAGCATACTATAATCTCCTTTATAAAGAGAAAAAAGTGATTAAACACAGACCCACAGATCAAGTATTTCCTAAGTATCCATACTGTTCAATAGACGTCAAGTTCTGACACTGTCCATGGGAGAAGCACCCACAAGTGGCCGGGGCCTTGGGAGCCCTGCAGAGCAGGGTCAGGACAGTATGTGTGGAAGAGGTGCAGGCTGCAAGCAGACCAGCTGGTTTCTAGGCCAGAAGGGCCTGTCAGCTCTGTCCTCTCACCCAACAACCCCTCACTGGTTAACTCCTCACAAATCACTCAGACGCTCAGGACTTCGTTTGAAATGTGAGCAATTCCTGTAGCTTCAGGCTCATTACTGGCTGATGCTAGAAGGCAATTTGGAGAAAACCCTTCTGTTTCCTTAAGGAGAAACAAAGGTGCCAGAGTTTAAAGACTTTCCCTGAACACCTAAAGCTGATGAGTGGCATCTTGCTATCCCTTCAATTCAAAGACCCATAAACTGGTTTTTCTACTTTGAAGAACAAATCTGTCTATGAGCCCATACATACATTCACAGACTTTTCAACAGCTCTTACCATTACCACACTAAGCCTACAAGAAACAGATTCCCAAGTGCCCTCCAAGTGAAATGGGATGTGAGTGACGCTGTCAGTGAGCGTCAATCCCCATCACACTCTATCTTCCCATCTCCCGCAGAAGTGGAAAAGTTAATCTTGTCTTTGATCAATTACAATTTAGTTGTTTAAGGCTTGAATGAAGCAATCTCTAATCTTCCCAACAAGACACCTTAGAAGCAAGTGCTCAATAGACTACAGCTATAAAAGCACTGCTCTAAGTACTCTGACATGTACTGATCCATTTAATTCACGCCACAATGCTGCAAGTACACAACCAGGTGGATTCAGGCAGAAAGAGGGCCACTGTGCAGGAGAGGAGGCTGGGAAGGCTCTAGAGGCAGGCCCCACAGCTCTGATTTCAGACCCGCTCATCCTCCCACCATGCTGCTATTGCTGCTGCACCCCTTAGGAAACACAGTGGGGTAAACACACCAGCCAATGAAGAGCACGGTTCTTCACAAGGATGACTGTAGAACGAGCTAAAGCTGATTTCATGGGCTGGCCCCATAGCCTAATGGTTAAGGATCTGGATCCCACTTGGCTGACTACGTGGTTTCAATCACAGACCCAGAGGCCTGAAAAACATGCAGGGCACATATACGTGGGTGCCCCAAATCCTGATAGGATAGAGGGTGAGGGATTGCGGTTTCACCACATCCTACTTGGGGGAGTTTTCTCCCTTGCTGGCAAGAGTATATGCTCTCTGGGGAAAAAAGAAAAAAGAAAAAGAAAGTGGTTTCATAGCAAATATATTAAGAACGTAAGACTGTAAAAAGAGTTGCAACTGTAGTTACATGATCAACGTGATGGGAGAAATGAGTGAAAAGACAAGTAATTGGAAATTCAGTGTATCTATCTACAGGGTGTAGGGAGTTAGTATATATCTTAACAAATATCCAGGTATTTATCGTGAAGGTGTCTACTGAACTTGACCATTTTCTGTGCCAGAACATGTTCTCACAGCACCTTTTAATATGCTTAAAGTCCAAAAAGAATGCTTTTCTTCTTGAAAAATACAAAAACCTCAGAATGCTTTAATTTAGTCATCTGCCTCCAACTTCATGTGACAACAGAACCTTTAAAGAAAAAAACAACTTCTTAGTACTGCTAAAATATGCTTTCCCCCCTTTGGTGAACTGCTACAGACTATTTAGATTTATCCTCACATTTACTTTTTTTGTTTTCTCCATTGTCAAAGAGTATGTGTGCTCACCAGAGAGAGAGGGAAAAGGAGAGGGCACCATCCCTGGGGCCTGGCCATGTAACAACCCTTTCTCCTTCATTTCTCCATTCTTTTTTTTTGTGGGGGGAGAGGTTTTTGTTATAGGGCGCATGCTCTCCCCAGAGACAGAGAGAGACAGAGAGACAGGAAGCAAGAAATCACCCCCCAGGAGGGATGGCCATGTTGCAATCCCTTCTCCTCCATTCTCCTCTCGGGATCTTGGGCACGTACGCACACGCACCCGACCTGAGTTTAAGCCACTGGGTCCAGGACTTGAACCGCGTCGACTATATGGGAGTCCAGCAACATAGCCATTACGCTAACTACTGGTCCCCATTTCTCCATTCTTTCAGGAACTGAGGCATGTGTACACATGTGCCTAGCATGTTTTTCAAGCTGCTGGTGCCAGAACTAGAACCATGGTCAGCCATATAGGACCAATGCATAGTGTCTACTCACTGCACCAAGGGACTGATTTATTCACTTTTCTGTTTTCCCCCATAGGGCACACATGAAATCAGCCCCGGGGGGATGGCTGTGCCACAATCCCTTCTCCTTTCAGAATTCTGGGCACACACACCTGCACCTGGTGTTATTTCAAGCCAAAGATTCCAGGACTCAAACCATGGTTGGCCATGTGAGAATCCAGCAACTTAACAGTGTCACTTGCTGGCTCTGGCTTGTTTATCTTTTTTATTTCTTCTTTTTGTATCTGAGTTTGATCTTTGGACACATTTTCAATTGTGTCTTGAAGTCTATCCTTAGGAGTTCATTTAGTGGAGATCTTTAGGTGGTAAATCCTTTCCTACTTTCTGTTTGCATAAAAATGACCTTATTTCATAAAATCATCTACATTGATAATTATGTTTCCTTATTAAGGTATTATTTCGCTGTTGCTATGATTCGAATGCCTGTGATTCTGGCTGACTGAAAAGCTGGGGATAGGAGTGGATCATGGCATGAAACTGTTAGGGTGCTTGCCTGTCTCTCTCAGGAAAGAAATAGGCTTACCCACCCCCACCCCCCCAAAAAAAAGAAGTTAAATGAATAAAGCTGGGACCAGTGGCTGGCATAATGGGTTACTGGACTTCCACGTGGCTGACCAAGGTTCGAGTCCCAGATCTGGCAATTTAAAACTCATGTTAGGTGCATTTGCATGCGTGTCCAAAATCCAGAGAGGACAATGGAGGAGAAGGGATTGTAATGTGGCCATTCCCCCTGGGGGGGTGATTTCTTGCTTTCTGACTCTTTTTGGCAAGCACACGTGCCTATAGCAATAATCTCTCTAAAAATAAATAAATAAAACCAATAAGGCTCTGTGAGTGCTAGTCTGCATTTTATATACACACATACACACACACAATGAGAAAATAGACTTCTACAAAAGAAAAATTGACATTAGCTCCAAAGATGAATGATACTGGAATAATCACTGAATCTTCCATATTACAAACCAGTTATCATTTTTCTTATCTTTATTACACATTTGAAGAGCTGTTTTTAGAAACATCCAGAGAATATTATTTAAGTCCACTGATCTTAAAGAAGGGACAAGCTGTCACCCTGATTTCATAAAGAAGAATTCCAAGCAATGAAGTATTCAGCCAAAGGGAACGATGAAGATATGTCAAAAAAGGAAGTTATGTAATTTTTAAATCCCCCCAAAAGTATTAGCTTCATGCAAGCATCTACTTGTATGCTATCCTTCCCAACTTTAATTTCTTTTCGAACTGAAATAGACTGTTTTTCAGCCCTTACTGTTCTAATTTCTCTCTCTATAAAAAGCAGAGAATACTTTCGTACATTCAAATCTCACTCTGTTTTGACCACTCCTCACTCTGGGCGCTGTGATCATGTTCTTGTATTCGTGTTTACTCTGAGTGAGACAGTACGCATGAAAGGACATGGCATGCACTCTGTATGTTTCCATTCGGTATAATACCTATCCTTTCCTGCCCGTTGTATTGAAAACACTCTTCCACTGTCTCACATAAAAGGACAAAAACACCATTTCCTCCCAGAGCGCCATTTTTACCTCCAAGTTTATAATGGGCTAGGAGAAATACAATAGTACTATTGCTATCTTCTATTTCCGAATCATTTCTCATTGAAATATCTAAGGCAATTTACACACACACACGTTTTTATTTAATTCATCCTTATCATCTTTCTTTTTAAGATGGGTGCATGATGTTAACTGTATTTTATGAGAAGGAAAATCTGGGGCACTCTCAAAAGAACCAGGCGTACAAGCTTCCCCCCCCAAAAAAAAAAAAAAACCAAGCATACAAATGTATTTTTTTTTATAATTTCTTAAGCAATACAGAGCTCTTTATAAAACTACAAAGAGCAAAGTATCAAAACACAGAGCTAGATCACAGCAGCTGACAGGAAGTGCTGGGGCAGGCAAGGACACTTGGTGGTGACACCAAATCAGGTTTCCTCAACTTCCTAAGCACCAAGGGACCAGGCAAGGACAAAGGCAAAGCCTCTGCTGAGCATGCACTTCTAGGATAGCAATTCAAATAAGCTACTGTAATTGTAAAACAGCTCAAGACCCTGGCAGCTCTAAAAGGCTTCAGGGCAAATGCTGCTGCAGGGCAATAAAAATAATTGGAGTGGCAAGAACCAGCAGCCCCAGACAACCAGTTCTTTCAGGAACATGGCAGCCATCTGGCTGCTCTTGCCCACTTAAGAAACACTCAGGGTCCTTCTGAAATGGGCATCCCAACCTCGCCCCAGTCCCCTGCCACAGACTGCACAGATTGCATCCAAAGTGTGGCCCCTGGGTGTTTATCTCAGCTTCCCGACTCAGGACAGGTTTCTCTATTCATCAGACACCTGGTGCTCCCCAGGGTTCGCCTTCCACCTTCCCATAGGAGCCACCAGGAGGGCATCCGCAACAGCATTTCTTTAAAGACCAGGCACTGTTACAACTCCTGAGGGCTCCTCTGTCAACCAGTCCAATCCTACTCTGTCCCCAATTTATCTACCTTGAGAACAAACTGCAGCAGCCACTAAGAGAAGTTTTTAAAAGAAAGCGAAAACACTCCCAATCAGACCTTAAGGCATTTTTGTTTTTGGATTGGTTACCTTGCTAGGATAAATGATAGACTTATTTCCATTTGTCACTACTTTGCAAACAGTTTTCTATATTTTTTAGACTTAATTACATTTCACTATGACTTTTAAATATTCTATTGCATGAATGCTATAAATTTTTAAGAGTTTATTTATTTCTTCCATGAGAAAGAGAGAAATAGTCATGCCCAACAGAGTCTTCTCATTGCTACCTATCCCCAACCTCAGTCGGCCTGGATCACAGAGCCGTGTATGTAGCCAGTGTGGACAGAGAGACCCTGGGATGGAACCTGGGACCTTCCCACGTGGGTCTAGTTGTATTACTACTGCACCACTATCTAGCCTCAATGTTACAGTTTAAGTAACACAAAATATTCATCTTCCCAAAAAACACGTTACCTTTGTCCAGGGTCATCGGGACAAATAAGGAAAGTAAATGAAAAATGGGAAAATAACAACCATGCTCCCCCACACAGTAATGAAAAATTGCCGGTCGTCAACAATTTAGTATGCAACCATCCAATCACTTCACTACGAACATATTTGCCACCCAAATTGAGCAGTTTGCTTTTAAGCTTTTCTACTTATCTATCATGGGCCATTTTTAAAATGACTGCAAAGAATGACACTGTAGTGCCCTTTCATGTTTTACTTAGTCATTTCTTGGGCAGTAAGCTGTTTCCATGATGAAGACTTTCGGCAGCTAAAATACCAGCTGGGTTCCTCCTGTGTGCCAGGCACTGTGCTCGGCACAAACAGCACAGGCTTCACAGAACTCTTGCCACCTTAAGGCTTTTCCCATGATCTGTCCTGTTAACCTACATGGAAAGGCTGAGGCAAAACGAGTAAAACAAGAAGAGTTTACTTGGGCCAAACTGAGGAACCTCGGCATCCCAGTCACCCTGTATAAGGTGTGCCAAGGTCTTACAGATTTCAGGGTGATTTTAAAGGCAAACGTCCTAAATAGAGAGGGGATTCATCCTAGTCTTCACAGTCTTATATCAGTTAAAAGGAGGCTTGTATAGCAGTGACTGACTGAATCATAAGAGGAGGGGACAGGTGACCTCATAGTCACAGGGGTCAGCAGGGGAGTCATGAGCCTGGCACATTCCAAATGATTCAAGGAGGAAAGGGTGGGTGTGAAGCTCAGATCATGGTGAATGAATAACTTCCTCTGGGAGCTGAATGGGCCTGGGAGAAGGACGAAGTTTTGTGACAAATTTGCCCAGGTGCGCAGAAAATTCTTGACCTTCCTCCCTGCAACAGGAGCTTACTTAATGAAGCCTTGAAAAACTAAAAGTAACTTTTCATTCGGCAGGCCCAGTAATAAAGCCTTTCCTGTTCTTTGGGAGAGAAAGAGGATCGAAGGTGGCCGAGAGAAGGGTGGGTACCTTGCCCACACCTGTCACTGTCAGTACACCTGCGTCCGGGATTCCCTAACTGCTTCTTGGCCTAGTATTTTGGAATAAATGGAATGCTTTTTCTTACTTGCCGGAAGGCACATACACCCGCCATAGAAAGATGGAGAGACAGAGAGAAGGAGAAAGTGTCCTCCCAATGAGGCGGGGTCACACTGCCATCCTTTCCCATTTGTTTCTACATTCTGTTGAGATGACAGGAACACAAGCAGGTGTGCTTGGCATGTATTTCAAGACATTGAGGCCACACAGTTGATCATGTGGGATCCGGCTCCCCTAACCACTATGCATGGGGCAGACCCAAAATGGGCCTTTTAATCTCCTTTATTTCACACATGCGCAAACATCCCATAGACTTCTATGGCGTTCTGTCTCTCAGCTGACTGTTACCTTCCCAGGTGTAGCCGTCACGCCCCATGCTCCCGACCATGAGTGAGTACTGGTGACACACAGCTCCCTACTCGGAAATATTTTTAAACATGAATCGATGCCCTACCTGATTTCAAGACTCCCATTATCCAGTCAGTACTGTCTAGTGGGAACATTTTTTGTACATAAAATGTTTAAATCACTGTCACACATTCCTTGAGGAAGCTAGCAATGAATTTTTAATTTCAAATTATCATCAGATTATTGGAGAATTTAATACAGCACATTAGATTACCATAACAGAGGTATGAATAACTATTTTCTACTTTCTTCTAAATGTTAAACAAACCTAAAAAAAAAAAAAAAAACCAGAATGAGCCAGTGCCAGTAGTTTATATAATGTCTAAAAATCAGATATAATAAAAAACTGTGCATTTCTCTTTCAGAAAGAAATAACATCAGAGATTCTGAACAAAAAGAATTTTTGGAGCCATTTTGGCAGTTATATCCTACTGCTCCTTGTCAGAAGTACTGCTTCTGAGAATGGTAGGTGGCTTCTTTCAGCTAACTTTATTGTATTTCAGAAAAGGGTGGGCTTTGATTAAAGACACCAGCCATCAAAATGGATTTTAAAAGCCTAAATTTACTCTTTCTATATAAATGCAGATTTGTAAAAGGGCATTTCTCATCTTAAACATATAAAAATTCCATAAAACTTAGATAATCAAGCCAACCCATGGTATGGTGGTTAAGACAGCTGGATCTCACATGGCTGACTATGCAGTTAAAGTTCTGGACATGGCGGCTTGAAAAACACATTGGGCATATGTGCATGCATGCTCAAAATCTGGAAGGGAGGCAGAAATGAAAGAGAAGAGATTGTAACATGGTCATGAACCAAAGAGGGTGCTCTCTCACTTTCCCTTCCTTGCTCTGTCTCCTTCTGGAGCCTTCTGGCAAAATTAAAATAAAATGAAAAAAAAAAAAAAACAACCAAAAAACTAGCCAATCATGTGACAAACTACTCTCAGAGGACTCAATGCCTTTGCTGAACTGCTCCCCAACCTCCTGTGAACAGATCAAGCTGCTTCTTCACATACCCAGTGGCCACAGAACAACAAAGTAGAAAGGGGAGGGAAAGTCTTAGCCTAGTTTTAAAATAATTGCTTTACTTTCCCTCCACCTAAAGAGTCTTTCTCTAACAGAAGGAGACAACTGTCTTGAGGGAAAATACCCATTCCACTTTTATTACCTCTTAATTATAGTGTCGCTGTGCCCAGTGTTACACAATAGCAAAGAATTCTGCCTGTGTCGCTATTATAAACTCTATTTTCAGTAAGTGTGACTCAGAATAGCATCTATCCTCTCAAATTTGACATGTGAGACTAAACTTTCAAAACTTTAGTGACAGGCAAGTGTGTAAACCCCTCCACAGTGAGCAAACCTCCTTAACCTTCTCCGGGAACAGACCAGCACTTCCTGTATCTAAATACTTAAAACAAGGAGGGAAATATGAACCATAAAGAGCTGTCACACCCTTAAATACAAATTAATATTTCAATGATTCAAATTAGAAATTAACCTTAGGTGGATAAAATGACTGATGAATCTATACTGGAAATGCAATGATGTGATTAATATCACATTTTTTTACAATTGTTGAAGTGATATGGCCACATCATTAGCCTCTTTTGATTCCTTCCTTGCCAATTCCTCTTGTCTTTTTTCCAAAACAATCTTCTTTTTAAACTTTTTTATTAAAAATAATTAATTAATTTGTGCTGAGAAAGAGAGGAGGAGGGAAAATGAAAAAGCAAGTTGCTAGGTCCAGGACTCGAACCAGTCAGCCACGTGGGAGTCCAGTGCTTTAACTACCATGCCACCTGCTGGCACAATTGAAAGGAAATAACCCAAGGAAAGGAAAAGGACCATCAAAAAGTAATCAAATGAAAAATTTCAAGAACTCACACAGGACAAGGAATAGTTTGTGATTTATCAGCCAGAATGAACAGACTTTGTAATACATGAGAATCTGATGAAGAGTAATAATGCCTTAGTAATTGAACTAAATACAAAACTAAAACAAACAAAACTAACCAAATTACCAGTTCCAGGAATGACAGAATGGAAGGCACTTGGAGAATAACCTTAAAACAGCTATTATAAATATGGCAAATATACTCAAGGACATTAAGAAAAACATGAATATGGTAAAAGGGAAATGGAGGACAAAAAACAGAACTGGATTTCAGTTCCAAAATTAAAAAAATATTATATAGGAAATTAAAAAAAAACATTAAATTTTAAAAATTATTAAAATAAAGCACTGAAAGGAAATGAAAGGAGTGAGAAAAATAGAATAGAGAATAGAGTCTCAATAAGCTTTTGAGATAATAGCAAGTGGTATACCAAACAGGAAATTAGTCCCAGAAAGAGACATGAGTGCTTTAAGAAACAATGTCTGTAAAAAACAGCAAACCACAGTGAGACACTACCTAACTCCAGTAAGAATGGTGAAGATTAAACAGAAAAGCTTGAACTACTATATTTATTACAGGATTATTGATGATTGCTAAGATATGGAATCATCCCAAATGCCCATAAACAGATGAATGTTTTGAAATAATGTGGCACATATACTCCATGGAATAATTATTCAGCCATAAAAAACAACAAGGGCCTGACATTTGATAGCAAGTGGACAAAAATGGAAGATTTGTTACTGAGTGAAGTAAGTCAGGCTATGAAAGAGAGATATCATATGTCTCCACTTAACATATACTGACTGTCTGCACTCTATGGTAGAGACTGAAAGACTAGAGGACATAAAAGCACTGAAAATTGTTATGGACACTAGAGACAAAGTGGAAGAAGAGTGGGAAAGGGGAAGAGTGCAAGAAAGGAAATTTGGGGAAAAAAAGAGAGAAGTAAGACATTTGTGGGACACAGATACGGTTTATTACCTGTTGACGATAATGTGTGTAGTACCTTACTCAATATATACCAAATGTCCGCACTCTATGGCAGAAACTGAATGACTGGAAGATATAAAAGCCTGGAGAGAAACTGTGGATACTAGAGACAGTGTGGGAGGAGGGTGGAAAATGGGGAGGGAGGGAAATGAGGGGAAAAAGAAACAAACAAATAATTTAAGGAACACAAAAATGGAAAATTATCTGTTGATAACAACATGTATGGTAATATCTTTGACTTGACTAATACACATTGCATTCATGCTGGGAAAACTCATGTATGCTGTAATGATATACAGTGATTGAATATGTAAAAAAAAGTAAAAAAAATAATGGCTGAAAAAATATGAAATTGGTGAAAAATAAAAACCTATGAATCCAAGAATCTCAACAAATGCCAGGCAAGAAAAAAATTAAACCCACTGATGCACCTATCTAATTGCTGAAAAATTTCTGAATCCAGAGATGAAGAGAAAAATCTTAAAAGTCCAGAGTGGGGATGGGGGGGTAGGTACAGAGGAGCAAAGAAAAGAATGACAGCAGACTTTTTGTCCTAAATCATTCAGAGTAGATAATAATGGAACACTGCTGAAGTTATGAAAGAAAAAGAATTAAAAACTGCCAAAGAATTCTATGCTACTGAATATAAATTCATTTCTTAAGAGAGGTTTTTTTTTTTTTTGCTATATGACACATGTACTCACCAGAGAGACAGAGAAAGAAAGCAAGAAATCACCCTCCAGGAGGAATGGCCATGCCACAATCCCTTCTCCTGTGGTCTCTTCCTATCAGGATTTTGGGCACACATGCCCTGAATGAGTTTTAAGCCACCAGGTCTAAGACTCGAACCATGGTCGACTACATAGGAGTCCAGCAATGTAACAATTATGCTATCTGCTGGTCCCCATAAATTCTTAAAATTAAAGTGAAATAGACTTTTTTCACACTGATTAAACATGAGAAAGCATCTTACCAATAGCTATGCACAGAAAGCTGGATCTGACATGCGTGGCTAACTGTGGTTTGGGTCCAAATCTTACAACTTAAGAAATACATGAGGTGAATATATTACAAATGTGACCAAAATCCTGACAGGATGGAGAAATGGAGGGAGGGGGATTATGATGTGAGCATGTCCATTAGTGGGCACTAAGTCTCTTTATCTCTCTCTGGCAAGTACATGTACCTAGTGACAATAAAATTAAAATATTAACAATGTAGTACTGTGAATTTTATAAAATACACAGCATTAAAATATATAACAATAGCACAATGATTAGAAAGAGAAACACAAGTCTTAAACTATACACAAGGTGGAATAATTTGATGGTAGACCAACATAGTAAAGATGTATGCTGTAAAACCTATAGCAAAAAATAAAAGGATTAAACATAGGTACAGCTAATAAGCCAATGGTGAAGAGGAACAGAACCAGAAAAGAAAAAAATCCTAAAACATGAAGAAAAAGAAGAAATAAAGAACAGAATATAGTTTAAAAAACACTGAGAAGTTGTAGATCTAAAGTTAACTGTATCAATAATTAACCATAGACATAAAAGGTCTAAACAATCTAGTTAAAAGACAGACTGTCAGTTGACAGGCAAAATTTCTTCAGTTGCTAAAAAAAGACGAAAGCCCCAGGACATTAAAACGGCCTGAACCAAACAAATTCTCGAAGTAGTTAACTAAGGATATGATATAAAGGAGACATAATTTTAGGAATACTTCTGGCCTAGTATAAAGGGTGTGCAATAGCTCAACTGTTGAGCAACTCTCAGTTTTTGTGTTCATATTCATATTCAGGGGGCTGCTAAAGGAACAGAGCTTCCTAAGTAGAATCTTCTCTAATAATCCTCAGAGCTGGCTCAGGAAAACAATGGACAAGGAAAAGTTTGGTAGACAGAATCTGGGGACACACCAGAATAAATTAGTCAAGTCACCCACTGCCAGAAAGTGGATCAATGGAAAGATGAACATCTGGGTTAGTTTTGCCCTCCTTGTCCAGCAGGATGTAGTATATACTCTGAATCAATGATAGCTATTTTGCATCTTTCCTCTTTAAAGTTTATAGATTTATTTCTTCATGAGAAAGGGAGACAAAGACATTCCCAATAGGATCTATATACTGCAATCTACCTCCAGCTCAGCTGACCTTGGGATCCCAGGCATCTATGTGCCTGTAGCATTCAAGGAGGTCTCTGGAGGCACACCTGAAACCTTCCCATGTAGGTCAGTTCACAAAGTACCCTGCCATTGCATCACTGCTCCCCACTCCCTCTTTTTGCCTTTTCTGGAAATAGCATTTTAAACGGAAATTCTTCTTTTTTTTTTTTTTTTCCCCTCTCTAGTACTGTGTAGGAGATATGTCAGATGTTTCGCACTTAGCCTGCAGACTGAAGCTATGCCCATATCTGACTGAGGGGAGTAAATGTTACCAACAAGTGTCGGGCCAGCAGATGGTGTGGAGGTTAAGGTGCTGGATGGATCTCAGTTGGCTAACTTCGTGGTTTGAATTCTAGACCTGGTGGCTTAAGACTCATACTAGGTGCGTGTGCATGCATGTCCAAAATCCTGAAAGGAGAATGGAGGAGAGGGGATTATGGCATGACCATCCTCCCTGGGGGGTGATTCCTCCCTTTCCTCTCTCTCACACTCTCTTTCTCTGGAGAATGCACACACATATGGCAAAAACTAAAACAAACAAATAAAACTGACTAAAACCGACTAAACAAACAAACAACAAACAAACAAAAACAAAACCCCTCACAAATACCAGCCCTGGAATGGACACTTTGGCTAGACATGGTGTTATGCAGAGATTAATTTCTCTTGCTCTAAAAGGAAACTTACACTGTTTTTGGCAAAGGCATGTTTGAGCTCAATGTATGAAGAGTATGTGTGCATGCTAGGAACAGAGATGGATATCTATTGCTTTGTTTGCCAAGAAAAACTCCCTTCCTCCAAGACCTGTGTCTTATTCCTTCTTAAGAGAACTTTCTGGGACCGGCAGGTGGCGTGGGGATTAAGGTGCTGGATACTCCCATATGGCTGACAACAGTTCAAGTCCTGGACCTGGTGGCTTGCTTTCTCACTTCCCCTCTCTCTCTCTCTGTTGTGTATGTGTGTCTCTCTCTGGTCAAATCAAAACAAATGAATAAATAAAGTTAAATAAAAAAATAATTCTTTAAAAAAAAGAGAGAACTTTCCTCTTGCCAACTGCAACCATGCAGGTGCTATCAATCACAGCATACCATTGGTTCAGTCCTACAAATAAGAGTCTTGTACTAGGATGGACTAAATTGGACTTTGGGGAAGAAGCAACATCCCCTTTGGTGTCAAAATTAAACATATGACCTATAGTGCTATTGAGGACCATGGATCTCCTATGTATAAAGAGCCCCATTTGAAAGAATAAAGCAATATCAAAATAACACAGAGACAAAAACGGGAGTGTTTCCTGGTGACAATCTTTCAAAAGGTATATCCTTTTTTCTAAGCTAATTCCACTTAATGTCACTTGCAAATAAAAGAATTACAACACAAAGAGACTTCAAAAAAGTTTGTGAAAAATATGGAATTAAAGTACAAGCTCATTATGGGACCAGCAGATAGCATAATGATTGTGTCGCTGTACTCCCATGTAGTTGACCATGGTTTGAGTCCTGGACCCAGTGGCTTAAACGCTCGCCAGGCATGTGTGCATGCATGCCCAAGATCCTGAGAGGAGAATGGAGGAGAAGGGATTACGGTGTGGCCATCCACCCTGGGGGGTGATTTCTTGCTTTCTGTCTCTCTGTCTCTCCCTGTCTTTCTGGCGAGTGCATGTGCCCTATAGCAAAAATCTCTCTCTCTCAAAAAAAAGTACAAACTCATTTTTGAAGACTATGCACTGTTTATTTCATAATATTTTTCATGCACTTTTGCAGACCTTTTGCATGATGCTATTAGAAAAAATTAAGTATCTATTAGGCTAGTGTATAAGGTGCATTAGAAACAGGTGGAGGGGGCCAGCAGGTGGCATGGTGGGTATGGGTGCTAGACTTCCACATAGCTGACTGTGGTTCGAGTCCTGGACCTGGAGGCTTGCTTTCTCACTTTCTCACTTTCTCACTTTCTCTCTCTCTCTGTCTCTGTCTCTCTCTGTCTTCTATGGTCAAATTAAAATAAGTAAATAAATAAATGTAAATAAAATAATTCTTTTAAAAAAGAAATATGGTGGAGGTAGTCTAAAAAATATTTGGATCTTGGGGACCAGCAGTTAGCGTAATGGCTATGTTGCTGGACTCCCACGTAGTCGACTATGGTTCATGTCCTGGACCCAGTGGCTTAAACTCATGGTGGATGCATGTGCGTGCGTGCCCAAGATGCCGAGAGGAGAATGGAGGAGAAGGGATTGCGGCGTGGCCATCCCTCCTGGGGAGTGATTTCTCGCTTTCTGTCTCTATGTCTCTGTCTTTCTGGCGAGTGCACGTGCCCTATAGCAAAAATCTCTCTCTCAAAAAAAAAATTGGATCTTAATTCCCCTGCTCCCTCCTTGGACTCTGGGAACTGACACCATTGAATATTCTTTGTATTAGAAATTTAATCTCTCTCTCAACCACCAGACATGTAAGAAGACATGTCCACAAAGAAAGGGACCTTGTCCACTCTATCTATTGTTGTATTTTTGGTGCCCAGCACATAGTAGGTAATCAATATTAACTTGTTGAAGCTATGAATAGATAAATTAATGAGAGGTTGGGAAATGAATAGTCGGTAAGAAGCCTTCCATTTCCAAAGTTCTACAATTCTATTTAAAGAAGATCAGAAACCATAATAAAATTCTGATTTAGGGTTAGAGACTTCATCAAACTTGACAAATACTTCCCTAGATAAACATAATTTTTCTTCTTTCTTGACCTTCAGATAAATACACTTTAAATTTAGAGCCTAGAGGTAAAAAAAAAAAAAAAGAATAGGAATTGACAATAAATGATGCTAACTCTTCTTTCCATCCATATCTGCATGGATTTTCCGAGCCAAAAATCCACTTTTGTATACAGCAGCATTTGGATCATGAGGAATGTCCAAGAATGGGTTGGTAGTGCTCCCAATACGACTGATGGTCTTTGGGTGTGTTCCATTAGCCTTCTCATCAGTACCTTCTGTGGGAGACTTTTTTTTCTCTTCGTCATCTCTAAAGGGAGAAAAGAAAGACTGAGTCAAACACTCCCCATAACATTCCAGGAAAAAAGTAATCAACTACCTTCTTTTCCAATGGTCTACTGGTATTGATGATAATGGCCATGATAATGACAACAACCATGATTAAATGTCTCCTATGAGCCAGGTATCAACAGTCATGACAATCTTACAAAACTGATATTAGTATCCTATATTACATGCAAGGAATGGATTTAGTGAGCTTAAACACCCAAGGTCGCAGATTGAGTAATTAAATGAAGGGATAGTGAGGTGATGTCTGTAAAATCTCCAAAGCCTCTGCTCTTTCCACCCACTAAAATCCCTTTATGTTTGTCTTCTTTCAAATAAGTGGGAGTTTTTTGGCAAGAATTATGATTTTGACTTTATATTTTTGCAGGGCCTAGCATACATAGCTCTAGGCATTCAGAAAACAACAAACCACTTAGATTTAGCCAAGTAAATAGTATTGAACTACATCTGCCAAATAACCAGGCTAGCACCTAATATCAAAGCTCCGGGAAAAAATTGCTGGTAGATTTGGACATGATGTCGTGCACAAGGTTTTGGCATTTTACAGCTGCTACTTTTCAGCCACTATCAGTGGAGTTTGGGGTACTCGTCCACAACGGAGAAAAACCCTAATTGTCCAGTTCCCTTTTCTTTTTTTTTCACATTTTAAAATTTCATTTTCTTTTATATAATGAATCACATAATTTAGCTTATGAAATGAATATTTCAAGAGGTGAACATTTCTCCCTAGTCCAGCTAATAAAACTATAAAATAACTTCAATAGATAATACCACATTTCTTTGTCCCATTTATGCTTTGCTTCCCTATTTTTTTTCTAAATGTCCTTCTTCAGACCCTCCTCTTTCACACATGCTATATCTGGTATTAACATCCATATACTGTGTTTCTTATCCTTTAGTCAATCTGTTTCAGTCATAGAGTGCAGAAACTTGGTATATATTAAATGGGGACATAAAATGTCTCTCCTTCATAGCCTGGCTTGCTTCACTCAGCAGTAAATCTTCCATATTCATCCACTTCCTGTCAAAAAAACAGGTTTTTTTTTTTTTTTTTATGGCTGAATAGCATTCCATTGAGTACATGTGCCACAGTTTTTCTATCCATTCATCTGTTCATGGGCATTTGGGTTGGTTCCATGTCTTAGCAATTGTGAATAATGCCGCAATAAACATCGATGTGCAAGCACTTTTCTGATGAAGTATTCTTCTGTCCTTTGGGTAGATACCAAGGAGTGGGACTGCTGGATCATAAGGTAGTACTATTTATAGAATTTTGCGGAATCTACAAATTGTTCTCCACAGTGGCTAGATCAATTTACATTCCCACCAACAGTCTAAGAGCATTCCTCTTTAACCACACCCCTGTCAACAATTATCAATTTTTTTCTTTAATCTTAGTCATTCTGACTGGGATTAGGTGATATCTCATTGTTGTTTTGATCTGCATTTCCCTTACAATGAGGGATGTTGAGCATTTTTTCATATGCCTTTTAGCTATTCATATGTCA